TTTTGCCCTTTGTGTCTGGTAGAATTACAAGGACGACGCGGGGACATATGGACCTATAATTCCGAGCTTCAATAAAATTAATAATTAATTAAACACTTTAATTAATTAATTAATTCTATTAATTCCAATAGTTACTCCACTATAAACTTGGAATTGCACTCTCGAAATTATAGACGTTAATTACTTTTAAACTGTTTGATATAGTCATTGCATATAGATCAATCCTCCATAAATAATTCATAATTAGAGCCAGGTAGAATCCGTTAACCTCTCTAATTATATCTTCATCCTTGAGTACCATTGATTCTCTAATGGATAGTGATTCATAAAACACATTCATGAACCAGAGCGCTCTTACTAATCCAAGTACCGAATCAACACTCAAGAGAATTATTTATCTGCTTTCTCAAGAAGGAATGATTCCATCTTGTATAATAACATTCTCAGCTACCTACATCATTATGTCTCCAAAATACAAGGCATAAGATTCAGGGTCTCGAAATTCGTACCGAGTAAATGAAGACACAAATCCATAAATAGAAATTTGTTAAGAACTCAGGATTAAGATCATTCTATATATGATCATCGGTAGACTCAATTAGAATTTCTATACTTAACGAAAATTATTAGAAATTCATATTGTGTTTGTGTCCATGTTCCACGTAATCTCATTATGCGAAATACATTCATTCAATATCTCATCATATTAACAGTGCGGATAGCACCGTTCCATTCTAAATGGGAATGACATGTATTAATAATGTTTTAATTAAAGATTCTGAACTTTAATTAAATTCATTATGAACAATATTTTTTATTATTATCCTTAAACAGTATCCTCTCGTATATAACACTTATATACAATGTTTAAGGTTACATAAATAATCATGAAATTTTTCATTTGATATTCATAAAATATTCATAAATATATGAACATAAAATGATGAATAAATTCTTTTATTAAATAAATCATAAATATCCTATTACATCTAATACTTTTAGGACACTATTCCTAACAGCCATAAGGTTCCAGTCGAACAAGACCTCAAATCTCATTTTTCATCCGATAATCATTCGTTAGGAAAACACTGATATTTTGTAAATTAGTTGCCTTCCAAGTAAGTGCATGTGGAATTTTTTGTTCCTTATGAATTGGAGATAAGAAAGTGTTTTTTTTTTTTTTCCTTTTTTTTTTCTTTTATATAAAAAGAACCTCTCATATTGATACGTGGCAAACCTTTTCCCCATCATCCTTTTTTATTTTTTTCCTTTCTTATTTTTTAATTTTTTATTTGGCCTCCTTTTTCAATATGTCAAATTGAGCATTCAAATTTACAATGAATAATATCCCACCAAAAGAATGCTTTACACATTAATGGCTGCTTGGATTTGTTCCAGAGTTTTTCCCTTTGTTTCCGGTACCACCGTGATAATGAACAATATAGCCAGAACGTATACTGCTGCATAAATAATAAAGGTACCTGACACCACATATTTAAACAAGTCAAATTTTCACCACCTTAAAAGTCATAACTTTAAATATGAAAAGATCAAATTTCCAACACCTACAAGTCCTAGCTTAAAATATGAAAAGATCGTTTAGTTATAAACTATAATATCTATTAAATTATGAAAGATATGATCAATTAATGAAACTTTATTAATATCAAACATTTAAACCGATAAGGTTTTTGTTTTTATTTTTTGTTTTGTTTTTGTTTTTTATATATCCTACACAGAATTTTTTCAACTAATATCCTTTTTGGTGGGAAAAAGAAAGAAAATTTGTTGCTCTACTTACCATAGGAACTCCAGGCCATCAGAAAGTTGAAACTGTAGGAACACAACCATGCACCAAACCAATTCATTAATGTTGCTAAACTTCCAGCTTGTCCTTTGATGTTTATAGGGAAAATCTGCAGATGAAAATATATTCCTAAAGGTGAAATAATCAATAAAGAAATAATCAATATTCATCTTTTGATGGAATGAATAAATCTATACAAATTTGTTTACCTCAGACATTACAATCCAAGGAACTGCTCCCATTCCAGCCGAAAATGACCCTATGTAAAGCTAGAGTTCGAAAAAAAAATTTACTGTCAAAATCCCTGATATTTCACTTTTGCAATGGGAGACATAAATACATTATGTGACAATGAATTTGATAGATTACCATTATGCCAGTTACAGCTAGTATAGGGCTTGCTTGGAGTGCCAATTCATGAGCCTAATTCACCACACACAAAAAAAGCGATTTTCTCAGCATTTTAATATTGGATTTACCTTACTCGTCCAAATAAAAATAAAATTGGATAAACCTTAAACAAAACTATTGGATCCAAAGTTGGAAAACAACCTTCAGATAAAACGAAATAGCCGGTAGTATGCAGCCTAGTACCAATCCTGTTGCAGAAACCTTTGGTGCATTGAACAGACTAGTTAAGCTTTTTAAACTTGAAAATGGGACTTAATGAGAAAGTTTTGGAGTAGAGCATATAGTGTTTTACCAGTAACAGAGGTTTTCTTCCTACTTTATCGACCACGGCTGCGCCAAGGCCAGTAATCACAACCTGCGAAAGAAAATCAGATAAGGATGTTTCTGCTACAAAAAAAACTAAGTAAATCTCTAGGGAAAAAAGATAGTAAGAAATAGAAAAACCTGAATGATTGCATATATTATAGTTCCAAGGGTAGGGGAGAATCCTGGGATATCATAAACACAAGAAGCTAAATGTTACGTACAGAACTCGGTTTGTACCGGAAATATCTGCTTGGGGTTGGGATTTGATTGAACATGGTGAAGATTTTAATATAGTTCTGTCCACTTAAACTGAAAAAAGAATGTGCTATTTGTTTTTGTTTTGTTCTGTTTTTTCATGTAAAGGATATAAAACCAATGATTTTGATTACTTGTTAAGCAGTTTTACTAAGGCCTATATACCTGCTGACTCAAAGATGCTGCTGGTATAGAAACATATTCCATTGATCCCACCAAATTGTTGACAAACCATTAGCCCAAGTCCTATCTGATCATTAGTAAAACAATTAAGAAAAGTTAACAAAAACTTGACGAAGGATAATTATAACTTCTATGGTTGGTTCAAGTAAAAATTATTACAATGATAGAGCGCAGGTATCTCTTTTGAAATAAGTCCAATAGTTTGGCCTTAGGAAGCTGTTCAAGTGTCGTTATGTAATCCTGCAAGAGACAAAAATGGTATCTCTCATTTTGTAAATAAATATCCTCTTCAAAACTTCAATCCATTTTCAAAATGGACTATGATAAATGCAAAGTTCAGTAACCAAAGACAAGAACCTGGATTTCAGCCGCCTCGTGAGATATGTCGGCATCCTTGCCGCGTAGTTTCTGCAGTGAAGCTTCGAACTCTTTGTGGCGCCCTGCCTTTGCCTGCATCCACAATGATGGTATAACCGTATGCAAAAGAGTAAAACAAAAATAAATAAATAAATAAAAGAGATTAATTCCATGTTCTTTTTGCCAAACTTGTGATTTTCTTACCAGCCATCTTGGAGACTCTGGAATGAAGGAGAGACCGAAAAGCAAAACGGCGCATGGAATAAGTGCTGCAAATACTTCTCTAGTGAGTATTAAAGGGTAGTACTCTCTCTGACTACTTGTCATAACAGTCAAATGCATAATTTAAAGGGCACTTAGGGTTTCTGCCTCTTAAACTTTTGGGACTTAGAAACTTGCATTTAACTTCTAATTTTTCATAAGTTATCCACTAAACTTAATAAAGTATTGTAGAGTGCCCCTAAATCAATGATGACTAATAAAATTTGAACAGAAATGCCTCCTTACAAGTCACATGAGTTTGTACAAAGACAGAGACTAAAATTTGGGGGGACAACAGAGCACATCATGTCACGTGCATGATGCCGTCTCCTTTCAAATTTTAACATCACCGATTTGGCAACACTATGTAATATCTTATTAACTTTAGAGAGAAATTTGCTAAAATTAAGACTTCATAGGGATAACTTGTCAATGCACCAAAAATTTAGAAGACAAAAAGGCTAAAAACCATAATTTGAATTAGAAGCTTTACCGACTAATGCCAGTGCCCTCCATGTTAGTACATTCCCAATAATGAAGGAAACAGAAACGCCAGCACAGATCATGAACTACAACACAAGAACACAAATACTAGATTATTCAATTCTATACCAATCCCACTTAGAAAAAAAGAAAAGTAATTCCACTTGAGACTTTAAAACTCTTTTTACCTGGTTTGAAGCAGTCAGTAAGCCTCTATGATTCTTGGGTGCAATTTCAGCTATGAAAACAGGTACCTTATCATCCACAAAACAAGCACCAAAGTTGTAAAAATATATATATATATTTTCCAAAAGTAAAATGTTTTACCAAATCAAAAGAGGACGTTGAAACTGTTAGGAGAGACACGCACCACATAAGAAAAGGCTCCCATTCCATATCCTGTGGCCAGTCTTCCGATGTCCAAAGCCAAAGCGTCCTTTTATACCATTCAATAATAGGTAAGCCAAACAATTTTTTTACATTTATTGGCTAAAAAATGTACTCTTTCTAAAGATTTTACGGACCTTGGCAAAGTAAATAGAAAGCCACCCTGTAACGCAGAAAGCAGTGTACACCCTCATGGCCTGCACATACAGTCCAAGGTACAAGATCATAATATCAGATGTACACGACAAGAGAAAAATTAGGAATATAAAATTTCTGAAATCAAGGGATTAAACATGGAGTAGCCTTGCTTACCCCTTTTCGACCAACGAGATCGGCGATTGTACCGCTTGTGATTGCTCCAATCATTGCACCAAAAGTCAATATGGAGCCAAACAGAGAGTACTGTGTACAAACACAAATGGGAATATCAGAAAAATTCAGTTTCAAAACCAAAAAAAATAAAAATAAAAATAAAATCACAAGAATAAGTTTTCCATCATTCTCCAGTTGCATAATATTGTCTAAATTTAGAGCAAATTTGATCAGTATTCCTTCAAGACATAACTAAAAATCAGTACTCAACCAAGTTTTATTTCCACAAATCATAATATGCATTCAAAATTTAGCTTAAATCCCAAAATGAAAATTCTTTTAGGCTTCACAGAAAGTGATTTGTGTCCTTACGTCAGCTAAAGATAAATTCAGATCCTCTCTTATAGCAGACTGAGTAGGTGATGAATAACCCGCCTGTCACGCAAACAAAGACCCTCCCTCAGAACAAGGAAATCACTAACAAACATATAATAATACTTGTTTTAATTATAGTACATGTAGAGACGTACTAAGTAAGAACTTACACAAGTTCCAAATTCATAGGAGCCACAAACTGCAACAAACGTGCTTAAATAAACCATCCATGGATTGTCTTTGCTGTATTCATGAGCAGGTGATCCATCTTCAACAGCAAAGAGTGGCTCTCTTACCTCCTCCTTCTCCTCCTCTTTGATGGCCATGTTTTCTTTATCTTGTCGTAGTACCACCCTTTTGGTTTCTTATCTGGAAAAATGAAAAAATAAAATAAAATAAAAGAAGAAGATTTAAAGAGAAGGACTAAAATCAAGAATAGAAAGAAGCAAGGAAACTTTCTTCCTTCTTTCATTTCTGATAATATAAACATACATGGACAGTAAGCACCAATCTCAAAAGTCTTTTTCTCCAAATTCACAAGTTTGGTCTATGATTGCTATACATCAGAGTGACTTCTCAGTTTAGAACTCCTGCAAATATAAGTAATTAGCAAATTGTTTATTGACAAGGAAGCAGTGGCGGAGGGAGGTGCGGCCCGGGGGAATATGCCCCCTGAAGATTTGATATTTGATATTTAGGGTATGGTTTTTAAAAAAAATTTCATATATGGCCTGTTTCATCAATAAAAATTTTAAATATATCCACACAAAATTAAATTATAAATAAAACCTCCAAATTTGAGATAAGTTATATGGTTTTTTATTGAAATAAAACAAATAAATTTTATACAAGTGTAAATAACCAAAATAACTCAAAATTATGTACCAAAAATCAATTACATATCAATTTCCATCCAAAACTCTAACAGAAGGAGGTTATTTGTTACAATTTCATAGTTCTGAAAATTTTTTGTAATTAATCCTAAATCTTATAGTTTTAAATGTACCTAACTAAATTTTTCCTAAAGTATTTTTTAATATAATCTAAGCTATATCAAAAAGTGATCCACTAAAATATTTTTTCCCAAATGTGTCTCTCATCAAGAATTCTTTTTTTTTTTTTTAAAGAAACAACACTATCAATTATTATTTTCTCATATACACATTTTCTCTAATTTTGACTTATTGAAATAATATATATTTTTTAAAATGTGCTCTACATATTTAAAGATATTTTCTTTGTTTTTGTGGCACTTACAAATATTATAATCTTATATGTAAAATAAACCTCCTAAATAATTTTTTTATTTAATTTACTTGCTAAAATTTTTATTACTTAAATATGTTCTATTTATATATATTCATTCAAAAGTATCAGATATTGATTTTATTACTATTTTTTACATTTTTAGTTTATGCCCCGAAAAGAAGAAAAGCATATGATTTGGTTTATTCAAAAAATGGCAGGCACCTTTGCACGGACCAATCACAATCAGGCAAAGCACATGGCCTATCAAGTCTCAAAACTTTTTATAGAATAGGACAAGAAAAAGCTCATTGTCATTTTATTAAGCGAAATTATGGTTGTACTTATCGACAGATTAGATCCAATGACATGCGTGTTATTTCATGGTCCAGGTTTAGTGGGGAGTGGGACCTGGGATTTCTGTTTGCAATGCTTTGAACGATCTAACGCAGCCATAACGTTCCAGTCGAACAAGACCTCAAATCCCATTTTCATCCAAAAATCATTCGTCAGGAAATTGCCTTCCAAGTAAGTGCATGTGGAATTTTTTGTTCCTTATGAATTGGAGATAAGAATGTCTTTTTTTTTCTTTCCTTTCTAACGTATATAAAAAGAGCCAATTGTCACAATGCTCTTTTCTCTCATATTGAATGTGGTAAACCTTTTCCTCATCCTCCTTTTTAATTTTTGTCGTTTCTTATTATTTAATTTTTATTTGGCCTCCTTTTTCTTTCTTTTTTTTTTTTTTACTTTTATTCTTTTCTTTTTCTTTTTCTTTTTCTTTTTTCCTTTTTTAATTCTCTTTTTTCTTATTTGTTTTTAGATTATTTTCTTCTAAACATTTTAACATATTTTTTAAAAATATTTTCCCTTAATTTATTTGTATTAAAAAAAATTCTTATGAATACGTCCTTTCTTAATTTTTTTTATTTATTTTTTTCTCCAAAAGCTACTCTACATCTTAATTCTCTTTTTACACATAATCTAACATCTCATCAAACATATATAAAAAGAATCAATTCCCTTTTTTCAGACTTGACCCACAGAAAAGTCACATGTTCGTATAATTCTCTTTGTTTTTAAAATTATCATCTTTTCTTCTTTTTCTTCTTTCAACTTGTATTTTAATTTTTTATTCAGAAATAGTAGAAAATATGTCAATATAAAAAGCTTAAGAAAGTATATAGATCAATTTTTAGTTATAAAAATTAATAAGTCATAACTTGTCAAGTTATGGTTCATAACCAGATAAGTTATAGACAAACTTGTCAAGTTATGGTTCATAACCAGACAAGTTATGGACAAAAATCATGAATTATGGACAATAACTTGTCAAGTTACGGTTCATAACCGGATAAGTTATGAACAAAAACAGTAATTTTATCTATTTCTTAACTTATGTAAACTAGTGGCCTATTAATTTTAATTCATCTCAAGTCTTGGTCTATTTCTCTCTTTCTCCCTTTTTTATTTTCTCCTTTTGCCTAGGACTTGGCCCATAGAAAAGTCACATGTTCACATAATTCATTTTTTTTTTTAATTTGTCCTCTTTTCTTCTTTTTCTTCTTTCAACTTGTATTTTAATTTTCTATTTTCTTCTTTTGCCTATTGTGTTTTTTTTTTTTTGTCTTTTCCTCTAATATTCTTTAGTAGTTCTTTTTTTAAAATACGTTCTTTTAATTATCTCTTAATTAAAATAATTTCTTTTAAATATGTCTTTACCTAATTTTTTTCCCTTTTTGTTTTATAAAAAACTCCTATGTAACTCTAATTCTTTTTTTCTTTTTTTTCTCTTTTTTCATTTTTAAGTTTTTCTCTTTTTTTTATTTTTATTTTACCTTTTTTTTTTTGCTTTTTTCCTATTATTTTTTGGCAATTACTTTTTTTTACAATATCTTTCTTTTAAATTATTTTCTTTTTCTTACTTTCTTTTAGTTAAAATAAATCCTTTCAAATACATCTCACTTGAGTTTTTTTTTTTAATAAAAAAAACTCTTATATAATTTTTTCTCAATGTGATTTTTTAAAAAAACTTTTTCTCCTCCTACTCCACTTATGAACTTTGATTTCTAAGTAGGCCATGTGTTTCAATGCGAAATCAAACTTTTTTGTTAATCAACGCACGATTAAACTTACAAAGTTATTTTCTTCATGCATAGAGCATGTATTAACTAGTCTAATCTAATCTAACAATACATACAAGAGTAAAAACTCTTTTCTATGTGGCAGCTCCTCCACTTAACTCTTTTTTCTTTTCCTTCTTTTATCTTTTATTTTTTTGTGATTTTTTTTACATTTTAATTTTTTGGCGTGTTTTTTTTTTTTTTAAAAGTATATGTTGTTCTTCACTTTACTCTTATGAGAGTAATTCTTTTCGCGTGTTATTATTTTATTTTTTATTGGTTAAAATAATTTTTTTCAAATGTGCCCCTACTTAATTTTTCTTGTCAATTGTTATCTTTACACATATTCTTTTTAAAAAAAAAATTTTAAAAATCATTAAATGGATGTATAAATGAATTTCTCATTATTCGGTAAACAATAAACTCTTCAGATATTTTTAACACGGCAATACATGCAGAGCACGTTACAAAATTAGTACATACATAGAAGAGCTAAAATGTATTTCCCTTTTTTTGACATGTGGCATTATATGAAGCATTCTCCTTCTTTTTGACATATGGGCATCACCTTTTTGCTTTCTTTAAAATAAAATAAAAAAAAACATGATTTCTTTTTATTTTTTATTTTTTCTAATTTTTCTCCGAAGTTCCTATGCAGTTTAATTTTGTTTATGATATGTTTCTTTGGAATAACAATTTTTCTCGCTTTCTAAAATAATTTATTTTAAATAATATTCTTATTTTTTTCTTTTTATTAAAGTTTCTGCGGTTTTTTTTTTTTTTTTTTTGTGTTTCTCTGTACACTTGTTCTCGCCATATTTACACATGTTTTTTTCTTAGTAGTACTCTCAACTGCTTTTATCTCATAATAAAATTACTCTGGTTTATCTCCATTTTAAATAGTTTCTCTCACATATGAGCCCACTCAATATTTGTTTTCTAAATGTGACCTTTATAAAATATTTTTTAATTGTTTTACTCATATCATATATTCTCAAATGTGTCTCTACCTAAATTTTTTTTTCTTACAACCCTCTTAAATACTATTTTTTCATATGTATCTCATAAATAATTTATTTTATAATTTGCGCCACTAAACACTTTATTTTCTTTTAAGTATGCTCTACTTAAGTTTTTATTTTATATTCTTTTTACTAAACTAAACTCTTAAAAGAATACTAGGTCAATAAAAAAATTTTAAAGAAATTTTAAATCTTTATATAAAAAGATATCACGTTGAATATACACGTGTAGCGCGTAATTTCAATTGGCTTGGCTAAAAAAACCAAAGCAATTGTTGATCACCTGAACAACCGTTCTTATACTTTTCGACTATAAGTCTCTTTTCTTTTTAGGGACAAGCAGGAATTATTAAGAAATCAAATCCTAGATAATTTTCTAGGAATGTTTACTTTGGGAAGAAAACTAATCTAATTTACTCTAATCTAATAATATATAAAAGAGTTAAAAGACTCTTATAATAGTACTCTTCTTTTGGGCAATTATGTGGCGGCTTCTTCTTCTTCTTTTTTTTCCTTTTTCTCTTTTTTATTTTTATTCTTTTTATCTTTTAAATATTTTGCTTTTTATTGTTTTTTTTCTTTGTATTTTCTTTTTTGCAGTTCAATTTTTTACTTGAGTTTTTTAAAAATTATTTTTACTCACTTTACTCATATGAAAGTAATTTCTTTTGCATGTATTTCTATTTAACTTTTTTTGTCAATAGTTAAAATAAATTTCTTCAAATGTATCCATACTTAATTATTTTATGTGTAATTCAAATTATCTTAAAAGTTATCTTTATAAGTATTTTTTCTACATTGTTCCCACAGAGCACTTTCCAGATTGCTATGTGGCAACCGTCTCTCTCTTCTCCTATTTTTTCTTTTTCTATTTTTTTTCAATTTTATTATTTTTATTATTCTTTAAATGTTTTTTATTTCTATAAATTTTTTTTACATTTCATTTTTTTACGTGTGTTTTCCATTTTTCTAATCTTATTTTATTTTTTATTTTGCCAAATGGTTCTTTTATAATTTAATCTTTTAACGACATTTGTACATGTAATCTAATATCTAACGTCTATAAAAGTAGCCAATTCAACTTGGCTCCTAAGGATGCCATGACCTCCATCTTCTTTTTAATATTTCGTCATCCTTTAAAACTTTTCCTCTTTTTATTTTTTTTATTTTTTCTTCTATTTCTTTTGTTTATTGTCTTTTTTCTTCGTCCCCTAATATAACA